GGATGAATCTGGAGAACATCATCCTCAGCAAACTGACACAAGAACAGAAAATGAAACACCGCATATTCTCACTCATAGGTGGGCGATGAAAAATGAGAACACATGGACACAGAAAGGGGAGTACTAAACACTGGGGTCTATTGGGGGGAAAAGGGGAGGGCCAGTGGGAGGGGGAGGTGGGGAGGGATAGCCTGGGGAGAAATGCCAAATGTGGGTGAAGGGGAGAAGAAAAGCAAAGCACACTGCCATGTGTGTACCTACGCAACTGTCTCGCATGCTCTGCTCATGTACCCCAAAACCTATAATCAAATAAAAAATTAAAAAAAAAAAAAAAAGGAGAAACATCTAATGTAGGTGATGAGGGGATGGAGGCAGCAAACCACTATGGCACGTGTATATCTATGTAACAATCCTGCAACATATGCACATGTACCCCAGAACTTAAAGTATAATAAAAAAAAAATTTTTTTTAAACAAAACTAACCATCCCTGACTGTGTAGTCCTGGGGATGATATGGATGTGGAAGTTAAAGTTGGGCAGGGGATGGAATTGGTTTGGAAAATACTCTTCATGGTGAGTATATATATATATATATTTTTTTTTCTCTTTACCAAACTCAATAGGATAGTGAACACATATTATGCAAAGAGAGCAAGAAAGACCTGATTTTATATTCTGTTTTACCTCAATGACCTCCTGAAGCTATTTTCTTTAACTCTCAACCTGTTCATCTTTAAAATGGGGGGATGCAGGGGAAATATGCTGATGTCTCCTGGTTTACCTCCTTCTCCTTTTTCCACACAGCTCTATCTTAGGAGTCTGAGTGCCTGCACTTCATCGACAGGCTCCAAGGCTCTGGATTCTGGTCAGATTCAGCCAATGGGGAGCCAACAGGAGACAGAGGGTGGAAGTGCTGGTAATTTCCTTCTACAGCAGACTTCATTTTCAACAGCATTTTCAGTAGATTCTGTTTTTCATGGTCTCAGACCCTCTGGCTAGAACTTCTCACTAGTTCTCTGCTGCTTATATTCCCAGGGTACTCTACTCGCCCTCTGTGTTTCCACTAACACTGCTCATGGTAAACAGTCTCTTTATTAAGTTCTCTACAAATTACCCAGTTTGACCATGTCCTCTTTTCCTGTTAATATAGAAGGCAATCGTAATTACTTCTTGCTAGTGTAAATATTTATTTAAATTGTATGAAGCGTCTAGCACAGCCCGTAATATAAAGCAAGTCATAGATAAACATGACTTTCTCACTCTCCTTCTCCTTCTACTCTGGCCTTCTTAAAGACATGATATTCATCTATGGTACTAGGGAGTTTGTGTTTAGTGTGACTTTTAGGATTTTAATAAGCTTTTAAGTGAAGAGGCTTTTGTAGAAAAAGAAAAACTAGAGAAAATAGTTTTTTTGTAGAAAAAATAAAAAAAACCTTTTTTATGTAGGGTTCATTTGCAAATAAATCAAGAAAATGCATCTTCCAAAAATCATGGCAATATAAAGAAAAGAGTACTTCAACTATAGTTGTTTGAACTAGAATGAAATGTGCTTTATAATGATATGCTATCCTTCTCTAAGAAACATGTACAGACTATGAAAGAGCTAAAGGAACAGATCGAAAAAAAGTAAGTTGTGAGTGGTCACAGTTATTTGACATAGATAATGCCTTTGTGGACAAGGCATTGCTTACAAAAATTTGTTTTGAAAATGACTAATAATTCTAATTCAAGTTTCTTATAAGGTTTGTGGCAAGAAGATTAAATGAGAATGTACTGTGACAGAATCGCTACTGAGGAATGATTGACTCTTTTTTTTTTCTGTAGGGTGGTCACAGAAGAGTGAAAGATACTCTCTTTTCGCAGTAATAATGACCAGGCTTCTGATCCTTCTGTCCAGGAAGAGTTATCTTCCTGATGTAGCTAACAGTCAGAAAGAGAAGTAATTCACAGGGTATGCTGGAGGGAGTTTCCCATATACGTCTTCACTACTAAAAGCTTAGGTCCATGTGAATAATTAAACTGTATTTCTCAAAGAGAAAATCAGCAGATGTACTGTGATTAAAGAGGTGCCCTATGATGTTCATAGAACCCCTGAAACCAAGAAAGTGGTGAAATTTATGGTTTCCAGAACAGCAGAGGCAGGGGCTTATCAGAATGCATAGCCTCCAAAGTGGGAGAGCCTCCATGAGGATACCTGCCTGGATGTAGGAGGTTGCAACAGTGGCCACATTCTCCATACCTTCCTGTATCCAAGATTTCTTGGAATGTGATTTTGAAGTTTCTTTCATGAAGAATTGAAATCGATTGTTCCATCTTTTGAATCTGAGTTGAGTTAGGACTTTTTCTGGCCAATATAATGCAGCAGAAATTATGCTATGGTGGTTCTGAATCTAAGCTCTAAGAGGTGTTATGTCTCTGCATTTTCTCTTGTAACCCTACAAAGCTGCCACATATGCAAACCTGAGATATGCTGCTGGAAGATCAGAAACATGTATATCTGTTCCTGTCCTATCCCCTAGCCAACAGCCAGACAATCTGAAAGAAGCAGAGCTGTTTTGCTGACTTCTAGCTGATTACAGATGCATACATAACCAAAATCAGGCCCAATTATCAAGGCCCATTTAAACAACCACGTTTTTAGTTCATCACAGAATTATGAACTAAAAACGTGGTTGTTTAAATCACTAAGTTTTTAGGTTGCTTGTTGCACAGCAAAACTAACCGATACACTATATGCCTGTGGTCTTGAAACTTCTATTCAGGATCTCTGTGGCTTAGCTTTGCATGAGGAGAATGGAGCTAAAAACTAAATTTTCATGGGTTCTTCTACAAAGACATATTTTAAAAATCTGAAGATGTACATAATTTTAGTGAAACGTTGAGAAGGGATAAACTTCTCAAAGAATAGTAAATTTGCAAGGTAAATATTTATAATGTTTAAATATGCTCTATATCAGACTGAATTCTGAGAATTTCAGAAAGTGATGATAGTACAAAAAACACAGGAAGTTGTTCTAAAGAAAGGCAGGCTCTAAGTAGCTATGCAAATATTATTAAATGCCAAAAAATTCTATACATTTAAATGTCAGTATCATTTTGTTGGCATTTCTCTTGAAAACAATTTTTAAAGAGATGCATCTTTAGATACTTCTTAATTTAAAACATTGCATAAGTCATACTTCTGATAAGCTGCTTCTGTGATACATATGATATTGGATTTCCTTTCAACTTTTAATTTTATTTGTTATTAGCTAACTTACATAAAACTTCTCTAAGCATCACACAACTTTCAACTATAAGGTTGATATTTGTAAATGTATGTCTTTTCTCTTTTTTCAGATGGTGGGTCTCACTATGTTGCCCAGATGAATCATTTGAGTTATCTGGGTTCAAATGATTCTTTTGCCTCAGCCTTTAGGGTAGCTATAACTTCAGGTGTACTCCACCACACCTGGCTTAAATGTATTTTCTGAATAGTTATAAAAACTACTTACTTAGGCAATATCACATTCAATTCTCACTAATTGCAAAAAGAGAAGACAGATTATAGGGTTGTTAAATAATACAATCAACTAAAATTAATGGAAATATTGAATATGGCAGTTCCCAATATGAGACTGCTGCATTAATGAGTCCATACTGTCAAATTTTTGAGGTTTGCATCTTTGAAAAAGTCTTACACAAAGATTCTTTTAAGACAATGTTTCTCAAATTATGGCAAAGGAACCACTTGCATCGGAATTGTTGGGGTGTTTGTTTAAAATGCTAATTCCCAGACCTCTCAAAAGATCTAGTGAATCAGAATCTCGACCTGTGGCTTAAAATTTTTCTTCTCCGTCCCAACAGATTTTCAAGTACATTTAAGTTTCAGAACCTCTGTTCTACTGCTGCAATGAAGTTTAAAGCTGATTCAAGTTATTCCTTTCACACCTCCACGCCAGTTTCACAATCATCCCTTTTTCACTCTGCCTCTGATATAATTTTGATTTCATGCCAAGGCAGGGCTCATTTGCTGGATGATCAACACTTACTTTTCAGTAGAGAGGGCTGTCTCTAGATAGTTACAGAGGACACGGATAGTCATACCTATTAGTCAACTGACAGGAAAAGGGTAAGTGTAACAAAAGTACAGTTCCGAGATTTCAAAACCATTTTTTGAACTAATCTGGGAGGAGTCCCGTTGTAATATGAGGCATGATTTTGTGTTAAAGAAACGACAGGATAACTTAATAGAGGTCTCTCATCTCATTCTGTGACGGTGCTTCTGGGCTCCAGTGATGAATGTGCTCATTTTAAGTGGCTTGCTCTTGGTAAATAACCCAGTGCCCTATCAGCTCTGCAGCCTGCGGCCAGCGGCTGTGTGTGTGCGCTAATGACGGCGGAAGGTGCGGGGGAGGGTCTGGGGAGGGGCTGCCCAGCGCGATCGCGCCCCTGGCACTTCCTAAGAGACTCAGCCCTTTCTCTGCAGCTGCTGCTTGAAGACTCCACGCCTTCCCTCCAGAGGAAAGAAGCCCTCCATCTAAATCAGCTGTCTTCTCCACGTCCCTCCTTTCTCTCTCCGGCAGACGCCACCCCTACCCCTTCTATTGTGTTGTGCCTTTTCCTTTTAGCCCCGCTTCCTACGTAGCCCTAATCTCTTTTGTAGGGAGGGCACTTGAGCATTTCCGAGCCTCGAGTTGTAATGGAGCTGTATGGAAAGGTAAGCAGGCAAAGGGAGTTCCTTGGGGTGCTTAGCCAGAAATCTCGCTTTCACGCACTTTGGTGTGTGGGTTGTGTGAGTGTGTACCGCGCGCGTCTTCTCAGTGCAATTGTGCGGATAACCCCTTTCCTTATGTATATACCCTTCATCGTCTTTTTCCCCCATGTTTGCCGAAAAAGACTGTAAAACCGCCCCACTCTGCCTAAGGAAACGTAGAAACTTTGCCGATTCGGGATGGGTAGAGGGTAGTGGGGGAGAGTCCCAGAGACCAGCTCTGGCTTCGTTTGCATTGGAAATTACCTTAAGATAGTGTGCTTCCTAATCAGGAAATCACAATCTACTCCTGATAGGCGGCATTTAGAAAGAAAAATCTCCAGCTGAGATAAGCTGAGGCTACTTTCACCTGCCCCTGGCGAGGAAAAACGTAGGGAAGACTGGGAGAGGTAACCCAGGAGCGTTTCGAAAGGAGAAGGGAGGCTCCGCGGCCGAGCCCGACTGGCGGATTGAGCGTGTTTAAGAGTTTGCTTGCTTGCCGGGAGTTGTAGTTCACTGGTCACTCGTTCGCTGGGAAGCCCCTCAGGCAGAGACTACAGCTCCCAGGAGCGCACGCGGCTCCCCGCCAGTACGCGTGTGCGGCGCCAGGAGAGGACAGCTCCGGTGCTGATGTTGGAGCCGGTGAGCGAACCCCAAGAGTGCAGAGTGTGGAGCTTGGAGCGCGCGGGTTGTGCACGCTTGACCGGAAGCCCGGGTCAGTGCTGTCCTAGCCAGAGAGAAAGAACATTTGCCAACAATGAGACACGAAGCGCCCATGCAGGTGGGTCCATAAAGAAAGAGTGGCCTCGGGAGGAATTGAAAGAGATGCTTTTCCCCTCTCTCCGCGTACAAACTGTGTCCAACCTAATGGAAGGTCTGGCGGCCACCCGCGGAGATGCGGCTCTGGGACATGACCCTGGGCACGGAGTTGGGTTTCTCTAAGCTCTGTGTAGCTGTGATTGGGGCTGTCTTGATGAGGGATCGGGCTATTCACAATCTTTCTAGGCTCTGAAAGGAGGATAAGAGTGTCCGTCTAAAATGAAAACCCGAGCAAACAAAAGTCAGAGGAGCATGCAATCTCGTGTTGGCATTGATCTTCTCTCTTGGCATCGAAGTTTGAGATTGCGGTGAAAACTCACGGATTGGAGGCAGATAGGTCAGATTCGGGGTTGAAGACTCCCCACTGGAGTAGGCACAGAGCGAATTCTGCTTGGTTGAAGGCACATTAAATAAAGAGAAGCCAACGTTAGGCTCCTCAAAGTCCCCTTTCTTCAGTTAAGTTCCCAGTATCAGCAGAAAATAGAAAACACAGCGGGGCTTGGCATATCCCGGAGCTATGCCCGCATCGCTGTCCACACAACTGGTTTACTCCGTTTCTGAGTCCTCTGAGCTTTCCTGTGTTACGTGCCTATTTGTTCTCGGATTACGCATTTCAGTCACATTCTTAGGTTTGCTTCCTTTGAGAAATGCGAAGTACTCCGGTGCAGAAGTACCTCTGCCTAAGCATCTTGCTTAAGTTTTGTTTTTAAGTACAGATGAGTAATAATTCTCGTCTCTATGTACAGCCAGTTAATGCTAAACATCAGCTTGTGTTTATTAATCAAGCAGTGATCCCACTGCGTAACAGAAAGCCTTTTATGAATGGGGTTGAGAGGAGAATGGAATACATCATTTGGAATGTGCTCTCTCTCCTGAGAACCCACCTCTGTTGCCAAACCCAACAGTATAAATATTTTACATTAATTCGGGCTTCAGTGTTTTCCAATTGGTTTCTTCATGAATCATGGACTTTAAACATATGTTTTGATTTACTTTTAATTTATTTTATGGGTTATGTATATTAAGAAACGCTGACTGGACTGTTAAATGAAAAACCTATAGGATTAAATTGTTTGTTGGAGGATTATATAAGGGAAGTCCTCAAATTACTTATGAGTTATTGAAAATATGATTTGTTCCAGGGAACAGTGGCCCCATTGTGTGTCTTCTAATACCTCTATTTGTGACTTAGCTTTCTATTATTTAGACCTGATGTGAAAAGAATCTGAAAGGACAATAAAGGTACAGGCTGTTGAAATAAGATACATTGGTTTATGATAATTTTCTATTACTGGAGATGCTGCCAGGAGCCAACTGTCTAAATTAATCATATTTTATTACAAGTAAACATTAACAGTAGGCTTTAAAAGTAGATCATTACACTTCACCATGTATATGTATAGGAAAACATGTACATCTTGAATTTACACAATAAAAAAGATTTCCAAGAATTTTTGAAAAATAGATTGTTAATATTTAAAGTCAGCTCTATATATGCACCAATATTTTTCAATCAAAATAAATTATTAAAAATTTAACCACACTGTATATTAATTTTGCTTTCCTACAGGAGTTGCTTAGAATATTCAGAAGGGTCATTAAAATATTACAGAACTATATTAAAGTAATGTTTTGGGAAATAGTTAAAATTATTTTTTGTCTTCACCAACTATGTAGTAGGCACTGTGATTTTCTATTTCAGTAAAAACTTTAATGAAGAACTAAAATAAAAATTAGGTAAAATGAAATTAATTTGCTTGTGGATAGAGTTATTGTCATATTTATAATGTATTTTTAGTAATTGGACAAAGTCTTTGAAATTTAAAATTTCCAAATGCTGTCATGAGTAATGTACATTTTAGGAAATCAAAGACTTTTTAAAAGCATATTTAATTAAAGCACATGCTTTAATTCAACTTAATAAATTGTTGTTATGGTGACCCCATCTCCATTATTATCAGTTTTCAAAACTATATAATAATAGGATAAAAACTATAAGCTTACTCTGAATATTTTAAAGTAACAAGTAATGTTATAGCACCAATATTTCTGAATTGTAATCAGTTTCACCTGACTTTGATATATGACAATGCAACAAGATAAATAGTTGACTTTTTTCCATTTAAAGACTGAACTACATCATCATTTTAAATATATGTCCCAAATATTTCTTTACTCAGGTCTCTAGAAGATGACTCACAAGCAAAACCTCATTTTATGGTTTCCTTATTCTAAGAGATTTCTTCTCTGCCTTAAAAAATATTTAGTTCATTTGTTGATGTGAAACAAAATGAGCTTTTTAATGTCTTTGCTTATTTCCCAATTTACTACTTATATTTTTTTAAATCAAAGAAGCCTTTTGAAAATCGTATAAGGTCTTTTAAAAAGCATTTGATATATCTATATAAATAACTTGGTGTTCTGTTCAAGGTAGTTATCTTTGACATGTGCATATTTTATCAAAAATATTTCTTTTCGAATTGATGGAAAATAAGGGATAATTGTTTTTTATAGTAATTACTAAAATAATATACAATGATAGTCTCTGACGTCTTTATTTCCTTTCTAACTAAATAACCAGGAATAGCATTTGGTAAGTGTCCCAAGCGATAGGCTTAGAATTCCAATGCAGGAGATGGTCATTTGTGTCTTTCATTCAGTGTATACATAAATCCTGAAGGCCAAATGAAATGAGAAACAGCAGTTCTCATGACTTGAGGACAAGACTCTGGTTAACAAATTGTCATTTGATTCAGGAGCCACATTGAACAAATTCTAGTTTATCTAGTGCCTTGCCTGTGCCAAGCCCTGTGACTTAGATTCAGGTCTCATTATATTTGTGTGTATGTATAAAATAATTTTTATTTTTTTATTGTATATATAACAATCATATGTGTGTATGTATATATTTTATGACAATATAAATCCTAGTGGCCACCATTACCCTAATTACAGGCACAATCACTTGAACTTATTAAGACAAAATAACTTTCCTGCTAGAATAGAGTAAAATTTCTGCCAGATTTCTCTGTCTAGAAAACCCATGTTCCTTCCTCTGTTACTTTTGATTCCTCAAGAAGACAAAAATGGGTGGTGTAAAGAATGAGACAACTCTTAATATAATTTTTTGAGTCATTCATTTGGTTCAGAAGAAAGAAAAAATGGCCCTATCTTGTTTTTATAAAATAAACTTGCATAAACTAAACCGAATATTTGAAAAGGGCCCATGTTTTAAAAATGGCTCGCTTCTATCTACTATAATTTCTGGCAGGTTCACATACTCTCTTATAGGACCAAAGTGGAATTCATTGTCCCTGACTAAATGCTTACTTTTCTATTTTGTTATCCACAAGTTTTCTGGATCACTTCATAAATGCACTTCTGACTATTGACAAAAAATTCAAAGAAAAATATCTACCCAAAGCATGGAGAAGAGGGCCCCAAAAAATTGTTTAAGATGAGGAGTATTGAAGAAGGACTATAGATGTAGGCTGAAGATTAAGTGGAAGTAAAAACCACTAGTTTTATATTAAAGTTAGCCATGCTGTACACAAAACAAAATTGCAAAGAATTAAAGTCTAAATATCACTGTTTTATTTGGCTATGGGAAGTACATGGCATTCTTGCATTTCATTATTGTTGAACTCAATCATATTCATCCTCAGTGATCATCCCTCTATGTTTCTGAGAAATGGAAATGCAGTCCTCATCCTTTACAGAAACAGAAATGAGAAATTCTTCCTTACTCCATTTGAGCTAATTGCTCACATATTCACTTTTCTCCTGTAAAGGGAAGTGGAGGATAGCAAGGTAACTTAACCTATAGCAAAAATTCACTTCTGTGGTATAAGAATGGTTTTCCATTAAAACCACAAAATTGTCATAATTTTCTGCCACCATTCTAGGCTTGTATTGGAATTGGCAATCCTTTCTTTACCATCATATTCCAGGAAGGAAATATATGTCTATGCTGAGGAATAGGTTTTCTTGAAACTACTCTTGCCCACTCAATTCACTAAGTACAAGCAGCTGGGCCACCTCAAAAAAATGTTCTCATATAGATTAAAGGTTTTCCAACCATTTTTCCCTTTTTTTATTAATGTGGTTCAGAGGTTCTGTGGGAATCAACTTAGAAGGTCAGTTTATTACCGAGGATACTACAGCCTCTGAATATTAAGTCTTTAGGAGTTATTCAGAATTACATAGATCTTTAGCGCTTTTCATTAATTAATTTTAGGTTTGTTAAGATAATGTTTATATTCATGGAAATGCACAAATCTTAAGTGAACAATTTGATGAATATCGACAAATGTATAGATCTGTGTAACACATACCACTATAAAGATATAGAACGTTTCTAATCACCCCTGACAGTTCATGTTTTTTCCTAATCTACCTATGCAGTAAACTTTTTACTTTTTTAACCATAAAAGAGTTTGATTTGTTCCAGAACTTTATATAGTTCTGTAGAACATGCAGTATGAACATACTGTGGAATGAAAAAATATGTTCTCGTTTGAGTCTGGCTTATTTTGTTCAGCATAATGCGTATGAGATTCATCCATCTTGTGTGTATCAGTAATTCATTCCATTTTATTGCTGAATATTAC